AACTTCACGCACTGAAGCACAGATGCTTATTTAAATTATAAGAAATTAAATGCGAATGCAAAAATAGTTATAGAAAGCATGAATTATAGGATAAAACATATTAAGAAAAATATTGTTTTAGGTTTACAGATAGGCAGTAAGGAAGGTTCCAAGGGTAATGGCTGGATCTAGTTTTATTTATAGTTGTTATTAATCATCAAGCAGAAAGAATTAAATGAAACTTTAAATATAATAAAAGCTCATGGTTTCTAGAAAAAGAAAGCTGGTAAACACCAGAAAACAATAGAATTAAAAGGCTGAAATATTAGGAAAAATGCACAAGTAAAAGAGGTAAACATTATATAAGATAGTATACATTCATGAAAATTATAACACCAAATTTTCAGAGAGAGGGTAAAAATGGAGAAGGAAGGGGAGGATGACAATGACCATATTTATAATGTGCCCTAAGATCTAAAAAAGGAAACCAGGTTTTGGCTTTTCACAGAATGAAGAATTCCTCTACAGAGGATTCAGTGAAAATAGTCTCTCTTCAATGTCAACTGTGCAGCACTTGAGACGTCCTGTCATTTAGGATGCCCTTAATTTCCAAGAGACGTAGCTCTGAACTGCAGGTAGTCAAAAGAAGAATTGCGCGGTAGAAAACTGCCTTGTGATAAAAAATGAAGAGAGCCAATTTATGTCAAACTTGGCCAATAAATGAGTAAATTCAAGCTCCTTTGAGATAAGAAGGGTTCAGTCCCTAAATTATTTGACTGCAAGTGGTAATTTTCTTTCACATTTCATGGTAATAACAGAATATTTTTTCCTTTTTTTTTTTGTGAGTGAGTGAAAGACAATGTAGAAATCAATTTATTCCAACAATACATATTTACAAGGAAACTGAGACAAAGAGATTAATTAATGCCCTCAATGTCCAGCAGTAAACCTGTATCATTTCTGCCGACAGGACAGCTTTACACGGTCCAACTACAGGGCTCTAACGGAACACAGCATCCTGCCACTGTCCTGATTCTCTCCGGCTCTTCTCTGCTCCATCCCATAGGGTTACTTGAGTAGGCAGGAACCTGGGAACCACTTTCAGCATTTCCTATCTCACCAGCAATAGTCTGGCCAACTCAACTTATTAAATACGCATCAAATCAATATTCTCCTGTTTTACTTCATTGCCACTGCCTTAAGTCTCACTTTCAACGTCTGAATGACTACAGGGGCTTTCTACTTGTCTATCTTATATATGGGTCTTCTTTGAAGAACCTTATTTGCAGCTGCCAAGGTGATGTAAAGTTACAGTACCTGATTATATTATTCTTTTGCCTGAAAACCATCAATTGCTTGCTTTCCCTTCAGGACCACATTTCAACTGCTTTGCATTCCACACGAAGCCTTCGATAGGTAGAGCTATTTTTCCTTCCCCCAATTTCCTAGCCCCACAGTGTCACCTGTTCCTCAAGACTCAGCTCATGAGTCAGCTGTTTTGTGGAAGATTTTGCTGGCCCCCTGTATGGTACTAGAAATGCTCTGTCATTTCGGGCACTCCCTGATTTCCAAGGGATGTAACTGAATCCATGGCTCTCCTACGCTGCCTATGCAGGCTCCTTAGAAGGGTCATCTTTTCTGGCCACACCATGTTCCCTGCATCCTAGTTGCTATTATTTGTCACACTTCTGATACACCACCACATCCCTTATATACGTTTGCATAGATTTAAATTTACTCTTGAAAGTGGGTAACTCTTTTTGTCATTTTCTAGGATCCAAGCAGTCCTTTGCCCCCAAAATGCTCTCACTTTCCCTCCACCTACCCTCAATTACATATGTACATATTTCCACACACTTGTTAGATATTTCATCACCAGAACTCTGATCTCTACCCACTGAGTTTCTAAGAGCTCTTCCTAAGATGCCTTTTCTCTGCTACATCAGCCTCTAAGTGGTATTATCAATTCTCATGGATTCATATGCTAACAATTAGCACATTCGTATCTCTAACCCACACAGGCTTGGGGGCTTATCCATCTGCAAAACTTGCATCTCAGTTCAGATGACACAGATAGAGCACTTCATATTTAACTAGATCAAAACTAAGTTCCTCATCTTCCGTTACATCTGTTCTACGCTTAATTTTCTACATCTCCTAAATGACACTCTAATTCATCCAGTTACTCAGTACATATGTTTATAAGTTAGTATTGATTACTGTCTTTCGCCATTCCTATCCAATCTTTTACCAATCCTGACAATTCTTCCTTCAAAAGAGACTTAAAATGTATCTATTTCTTACCAATTAAACCCTAGTCCAAGGAAGCATCCTCTCTTTGCTGGACTTTTACAATAGTTCAGAAATGGTCCCAATGTTTTCATGCTGTCTCTCATGGCACCCCAAGTGGTAGATTCTCAAATGCAAGAAAGATCTTCTCATTTTCTCACTTAACGCTTCTACATGGACTCCCACCCACTGCAATTGACAAATAACTGAAAATATAAAGACAAAATTTTTTCTGCCCTACACTCCTTATTGCTAGTCTCCTCTGGCCCCCACCCATCCCCCACTTCATTTGGAGACCCCTCTGAGGCTCACCATGCTCCAGCCACGGGGGTTTCAGTTCCTTGGAATGAGCCAATCTCTTTTGTGCTTTGGGGCACTGACTGATAGGGCTCATTCCTCTTCCTCACCTTTTTGAGTGCCTTGTCTCCTTTTATACTTTAGGTTTTTTGGGGGGTGTACATACAATTTCTTATGACATAGAGACATTTATCAAGACTTTATAGAATATCTCAGACTGTCATTCCCTCTTCTTCTTTACCCTATATCTCTTGGAAATGGAATAGCCCAAGCCAAGCTTTGTGGCATCATGGTCTCTTGATAATGTTAAATCCGTGTTGTTTCCAGAAGAAGGAAGTGTTGGCGAGTGGCAAAGGCCCAAAAAGTGCCTGCTGGTCTGTAAGGCAAGATTTATCAAGGTTCCTTGGACACACTGATGTCCATAACTATCTCAAATAAATAGAAGAAAAATATTCTAGCTGCAAAAAGTTGCACAATGCTCCTTACTGCTCAAACTGCATCTGGAATACTGAGTTAATTGCAGTCATGCTCCTTAAGGGAGATATAGCAAAGCCTTCAATTCACAGAAAGGCAAGCTCTCCTGAAATTAAACTAGTCCTTCGTTCTGTGTGTGTTCTTCACATGAGGATTGTATACATCATGGTTTTATTTTGTTTGCTTTTCTGTCTCCTTTGAGATACATATAGGAAAATAACTAAAGTAAATTCTCAATTGTCTAAGCTCAACCAGGGTGCCCTGATTTCTTCTGAGGTTAATAACTGACTTTAATTGCATTACATATTTTTATATATTAGGAGAAACTAAGATCAAGATTCTTATAGATTAAATCAAATTCTCATAGATTATGCTTTAGCTCTAGCATGACTAAAATGAAGGCAAACATGCAGCCGTCAGCAAACTCTCACATCAAACTTCTGGTGAGTGATTTCCTTCTCTAGGACATGCTAAGAATTCTCGGTAGGGGAGGAAATTTGGGGGATGCTGATTTCCATTTTACCATCTTCTCTACACATGTTCCACACTATACTCATGTCTTCAGCATCCCCCCTTCCATCCTGTACCAAGCCTGGTTTCCTGATGCTGCTGGAAGCTCTGTGCTGGGGTTTGCTTGCCTCCAGTACTGCTCAGGGCTTTTAGTTCTAGTTGCACAACCCAATTTCCACTTCAGAGATATTGAATCAAAGTCTCCAGGGTTGCGCCATGAAGTTTGTATGAAAAAGAAACAAAACAAATCTCAGTAAACAATTCTAAGGAATAGCCAAATCTATAGGCTTTCCATTGGCTTCCAACAGATCTCACTTTGAATCATGGCTGAATGATGTGGGTCAGTTATTTAACTCTCAGAGCTGTTAAAAAATAATCAAAATACCTTACCCCCAGATAACCTTGAAGATTTACTAAATGTTAGACAGTATGCTGAGAGTCGTAGGTGGATTATCTTCTTTCATTCATATAATAATGCCATGAGGTAGGCATTATTATTAATCCATTTTACAGATACAGACCCTGAGGCTCACTGAGTTATTAAAGTTAGTAAGGTGACAAATATTACACATCTAGTGATTAATGAAACCCTTTGCAAACCCACGTGTCTGCCTATACCATTTATCGTGGCACCTGACACATGGTGAACGGTCACATGTAGCAGTCATCAGCAGCACCATCATATCATCAGTGTCCTTATCATCATTGGCCCCAGGAGTGCACGCCAAATGCTGTTCCTTTCCTGGAGCCAGGGAATAGTGTATCCCTCACACCCTTATCTGGATTTTTGGTGGGTAAGATGTTATCAAATGTCTGATGGAAAATATGCTCTTATCTTAGAGCTCTGTACATCTTCACACACTGCTGTGGGAATTTACAAGAGCCCACAATCTCATTTCTTAGCCCTAGAATTTAATATGGAAGTAGAGAAAAACTAGGTTCTCACCCCAAGTAGAAGACCCCAAATAAATTTCATGAAAGCTTCAGGTAACTTTTGCTGTTCTCAGAATGGGATTTCAGTACTGAGAAAGGTTTCCCTACAGTCATGGAGAGTAAGGTCTGGAGTAGTCTAAATGCTTCCTCTAACATGGTCAGTGAGGATATTTGAGTAACAATTCTAAATTTCCCCAGCCTAGCTTATTAGTTATTTCTGTGGACTTCAACCTTGCAGTTTCATTTTCTGGGTTTTCTCCCTATATATTGACTTTTTAAAATGCCAATTATTAATTGTTCAAGTCAGAGGTAGAATTTTTTTTTAAATACCTTCAAAAGGTTTTATTGCCTTAGCAATGCAATGCATGTCATCATTTTACGTAAGAAATCTAGCATGCCTTTGCTTACTAAATGTTGTGATAAGAATACAGCACCGAAGAAAAAAACCATCTGTGGAACTATTAATTCTGAACATATAGAAATGCAATCTTCATAAAACATAAATATGACATAGTTACCTGTCATGTTGCAGTAAACTTTCAGAGGCCCCAGAGGTCCGCTGCCATCAGGATCTATCCAGTAGTAATTGGACGTCTGGCCCAGGTGTTTGTATGCTTCACAGGAAGGCTCGTAGATGGCTGCAACAAAATGACCTACATGAGCACAGCACAAAACAAACGGCTCCCCAGGTAAATGCCCTGGGAACTCACCAGATACCAGCAAATCACTATTTAGGAGTATTTTCTCTTATTAGAATGAATATTGTTTTTCTCTAAATTTAAATTCATGGCTTGGCTCTTTCTACATAGGCATTTCTGACCTAACACAGCAAGTTCCTGGTATGACTTTATAGTTAGGACTAAAACAATCAATTGCTAAATGTAATGTTTGTTTCATTGGGGCTGATGATCATTGAAAAAAATATTTATAGGCCGGGCATGGTGGCTCATGCCTGTGATCCTAGCACTCTGGGAGGCTGAGGTGGGCAGATTGCTCGAGGTCAGGGGTTCAAAACCAGCCTGAGCAAGAGTGAGACCCTGTCTCTACTATAAATAGAAATAAATTAATTGGCCAACTAATACATATAGAAAAAATTAGCTGGGCATGGTGGCACATGCCTGTAGTCCCAGCTACTCGGGAGGCTGAGGCCTCAGGATTGCTTGAGCCCAGGAGTTTGAGGTTGCTGTGAGCTAGGCTGATGCCACGGCACGCACTCTAGCCTGGGCAACAAAGCGAGACCCTGTCTCAAAAAAAAAAATATATATATATATATATATATATTTATAGTTATTTATAGATATCTCCTTAATACAAGAAACTTGATTTTGAAAGGTTATGAATAATGGCTGCTTTTCTGGGCTATCAACCAAGAGATCAGAGAAAAAATCTCTCTTTGTCTCTCTCTCTCTCACACACACACATACAAATTTTTCGCATAGTTAGTATTATGTAAGATTCCCACAAATAGTATATGATTTTGAGTCTTCCTTTCTCTCAGGAGAAAAGGGAGGAAAGAGATTTCCCTGATTCGTTTTATTTGTTACAGGTGCTTTAATTATGTCAAATCTAGTTTGTGCAGAAAGCTGACATTCATGTAATTAAATTATGAGTTCTTTCTCATTATTTTCCTTTTTGTTCCCATGTGCGTGACAAATTTTCTTCTCACAGAGACTGCACCTGTTTTCAGAAGTGTAAAATGGGCATTTACATATCTCCTTTGTAGTTAGAATGTCTAAAACGCTACTGAGGAAACTTTTTTTAATAGCTCCACGCAGACCCTTGATGAGGAATATGAAAGTTCTTTCCACAAAACTAAGAAATATTTCTGGTAACAATCTGTCTGGCTGATGCACAAGTAATGGAGTCTTTTGGTAAAGTGCACTTGAACCAAACTTCCAGGATCTGTTGTGTGTTAAATTATGAAATAGGACGTCTGATCCTGGGACCTCCCTCTTTTCACCTTCCATCACCAAGCTCCCTCTGCCTGCCTTTGGCTTTCCTTGGCTTCCTCTCCCCAGAGTTGTCAGCCCTTCAGTTCCATTTCGTTTCACCACCACCAACATACTAGACTCAAACATTTCTAAAATTCGTTGATTTACTCAGCCCCGCCCCTTCCCTCCTCTCTCCCTGTCTTCCTTCTACAAATAGCTATTGAGTGTCCATGGCGTGTTGCACTGGGTCCAGCACAGAAAATACAGCTGTGAGCAACACAGAGAGAAGACCTTTGGAGCAGTGTTTGTTCACTAGCTCTTTTGGTGTTGGTCATGTATAAAGTAACTGCTACTGGAAGAGGATGGGGCTGGAACGCTCAGCAAAGCCCATACATCTTTTGTCCCAGTGTAATTATTAATATGTCCACTTCCAACCTGCCAATTGTCTTATTTAGATAATAAGCTATTATCTAACTATATATATAGTTATATTATCTAACTATATATAACTATTATCTAACTATATATATTATCTATTACCTACCTAACTCCTCTCTCTCTCTCTCTCTCTATATATATATATATATATATATAGTTGCTCTAATTTTGAATGTCATACCAAGTAAAATGTTGCAATAAAAGGCAGGAAATAAGTATTTTTAAACTTTAAGCAGGAAGATGTTATAATTAGATATAGGTTTTAGAAAGAAAACTGTGTAGCAAAATGACAGATTTTAAGAAACTGACTCACAAAAGGTAAAGAGAGCATTTAGGCTGTTATTGCCATAGGCCAATTGAAAGATGACTGTCACTTAAATCACAGCAATATGACAAGGGGAAAAATAGACAGGACTGATTCAAATGCTTTTAACATCAACAAGACATGGAAACCCACTGGATGGAGGTGGTTAGGAAGAAAGGGATTGAAGAGTGATCTAAACTCACAATCTTGAAAAATAAACTGTCCTATTAATTTTTGACAACCTCTCTCTAGGTTATTATAATTTTTATGTACAGCTCAGAATGATCCAGGATATCAGGTTCGAATTTGTAGGTCTTCCTCTTAGTCTCTTTAGTCAACCTGACATTGTAGCCTTTCACCTTTCTTTTCTAATATTTAATAATTAATCATTCTTTTTTTCCTTCTGCCAAAACTCCAGTCACTGTCCTTATCATCTCTGGTTTACCACAATCACCCTATTAATTGGTTGTTCTACCCAAATATCTCTTCGCTTCTCACCAAAGTATGCTTTTTAACCAATGTTAGTCTAGTGATAAAACATCACTTTCATTACGTTTAAAAATGTGTAGTGTTTCTTCAGTGTCCATTATACTATATCACAGCTCATTATCTTTGTCTACATGAATTTTCATAACCCTAATAGGTCTTCCTTGGCGTCAGCAACTTTCCGATGTAAACCTTTTGCCCCGGTGAGGCACATTTGAACAGGGGCTGGTTTAACTCATGTTCACCCCTTCCTGGGGCATCTTTATCTGCACTATGCTATGAGCCTCTCTCTAAATATACACAATTTCTCAATCAGAGTTAACAGATAAAGCAGAAGTGGTAAGAAACATGGCTGTACAGACAGACGTGGGTTCAAAGTTTGACTCCATGAAATACTCCTTTATATAACATTGGCAAAGTTACCTTACCTCATTTAGCCTTGTCTGGAGAGTATAACAGGTATAATATAATGGGGTTATGAGGCCTAGAGGAGATAATCCACACTGATTGCCTAGCGTAGTATCCAACCCATGGTAGACACCTAATAGGTGGCTTTCTTTGGCATTTTTATTATTAGTATAATAATTGTTATTTAGGTTCCACTCAAATTCCTCCTTAAGGAGACCCTCCCTAGGCAATATGTCCATCTCTGTACAATCCAGGTCACTCACTGCTTTCCTCAAGTACTGTAATATTTGCTTATAGTTGATTTAGGACCTGATTAACCGTTAATTGAATTTTATATATGAAAATCTTACTTTTTAATAAAACTATGAATCAGCATGAGGGCAGGATCTGTAAAACATGTTTTTCTTTTCTACTCCATAGACTCTAACATGGCAGATGTTTAAGAACAGATCTGAGAATCCTGATATAAAACCATCCTCATACAGCCATCTAATCTTTGACAAAGCAGACAAAAACATACGCTGGGGAAAAGAATCCCTTTTCAATAAATGGTGCTGGGAAAACTGGATAGCCACTTGTAGAAGTCTGAAGCAGGACCCACACCTTTCACATCTCACAAAAATCAACTCACGCTGGATAACAGACTTAAACCTAAGGTATGAAAGTATTAGAACTCTAGAGGAAAATGTTGGAAACATTCTCCTAGACATCGGCCTAGACAAAGAATTTATGAAGAAGACCCCAAAGGCAATCACAGCAGCAACAAAAATAAATAAATGGGACATGATCAAACTACAAAGCTTCTGCACAGCCAAAGAAATAGTCATGAAAGTAAACAGACAACCTACAGAATGGGAGAAAATTTTCGCATCCTACACATCTGATAAGGGGCTGATAACTAGAATCTACTTAGAACTCACGAAAAACAGCAAGAAAAAAATCAAACAACCCTATCAAAAAGTGGGCAAACGACTTGAACAAAACTTCTCTAAAGAAGAAAGAAGAATGGCCAACAAACATATGAAAAAATGCTCAACATCTCTAATCATCAGGGAAATGCAAATCAAAACCACAATGAGATAACACTTAACTCTAGGGAGTATGGCCTTTATCAAAAAGTCCCCAAATAATACATGCTGGCGTGGATGCAGAGAGATAGGAACACTCTTACACTACTGGTGGGATTGCAAACTAGTTCAACCTCTTTGGAAAGCAACATGGAGATACTTTAAAGCGATACAAGTGGATCTACCATTTGATCCAGCAATCCCATTACTGTGCATCTACCCAAAAGATCCAATGACACTCTACAAAAGAGATACCTGTACTCTAATGTTTATAGCAGCACAATTTATAATTATAAAGCTGTGGAAACAACCCAAGTGCCCATTAATCCAAGAGTAGATTAATAAAATGTGGTATATGTATACCATAGTGTACTATTCAGCTCTAAGAAACAATAGCGATATAGCACATCTTATATTTTCCTGGTTAGAGCTGGAACCCATGCTACTAAGCGAATTATCCCAAGAATGGAAAAACAAGCACCACATATACTCACCAGCAAACTGGTATTAACTGAGCAGCACCTAAGTGGACACATAGGAACTACAGTAATAGGGTATTGGGTAGGTGGGAGGGGGAGGGGAGGGGGGCAGGTATATACATATATAATGAGTGAGATGTGCACCATCTGGGGGATGGTCTTGGTGGAAACTCAGACTTGTGGGGGGAGGGGAGGAAAGGGCATTATTTGAAACCTTAAAATTTGTACCCCCATCATATGCTGAAATAAAAAAAAAAAAGAAAGAAAAGGTATCAGAACTGAATTCAGAGTTTACTTATTCTTCATCCCATTCTGATCCTGATAAAGAATTACTAGCAGGCTAACCAGAAGGAGCACATGTATATTAAAGTGTGACAGTAACTGCTGGATTTCTAGGTAAGTACATACACCTTAACCCAAGTAATTCACATAGCAGATGTGGAAGGCATGTGGGTGTGGGGAATTTAGGCAACCAGGAAGCTGTTTTGCTTTTCTTTTCTTTTTTTTACAGACACTTGCTTTGCT